ATAAGTGTGTGAAATATTTTAAACAAAATTTAATTATAAATTAATTAAAAGATGGCAACATATCATTTACTTAACAAGATAATTAAATGTTTTTGAAACACAAAAATTTATGTGAATTCAGAACATTTCCGATAAAACGAAGAAACAAGAAGATTGTTTGTAACTACAACATTCGGAGTGATTCTGGAAGAATGTGTGAGTCAGTCAATGAAGAATATGAAGAATTTCTGAATGGAAACTAAAATTAATAAGAAAATATAAAACAAAACACATTTTATAATTACATAAAATTACTTTTAATTTAATTAATAATTATTCTTTAAAAATATAGTAAATCTTCTTATCCATGCTTTTATCTCTTTCACTCTCCTTTAATCACTTATATTTGGAATGCAATTGACGCCATTTTTGTTTGCATGACGACATTTTATTTCCGTTAAATTACATTCCGCAGTTACATTGGCAGAGTAAACATTTAATTATTTTCTTCTTTGCATTTAAAAAAATATTTGTTTTTAATTTAAATATGCTTACGTATGTATATTCTTATTTTCTAAAAGTCACGTTTCGGTTTAATTAATTGTTTCTTTTACAAATACGTATATAAATTATTTCTGATAATAAATAAATAAATTTTATTAATAATATCAGTTAATAATATATTAATTTAATAAATAAATATTATTTAATTTTATGAGAAATAAATTTATGAATAACGATTTTTTGTGAATGAGACTCTTTTTGCATATATTAAGGATGATATATATATATTATATATCAGATTGGGACAAACATATAAGTTTAGGTTGTTTTGCGGAAAGAACTTGATTCCTTTTGTTGTAGAAACAATTCTCAGTAATTGATCTTAGATACATAGATATTTTATTAGATATTTAAAATATGGGATCGATTATAAGCAGTATATTCTCTTTGATTAATTTATATTGCATAGTTATGATCCAAATCTGTTGTATTAAAAGAACTTTTCCATCAAGGCAATGCATCAGCGTACATACTTTAAAAGACCATAAGTTATTTATAATAGAAATTGTTACCACAATCTACCTATCAACTTATTTAATAAATTTAGTCCCCACTGCATATAATCCAAAAACAAAAATATCATTGGAATGAGTGAATTGTGTTTGGGGGATATGTGGAACTACAATTTATTAAAAATAATATTAGTCTATCTGCTTTATAGAATTAGGTTATGCTGGAGTGGCGACCTTATATAGAAAATCTCACTTTAATGACTGGTTGTGAAACCACGAGTAATCGTTATTCATACATTAGATCTGACAAATGTACTAATTAGACAACTAAAACAATTCTAGAGTGTTTATAAATCTCATAATTGCTATGGGCTTAATATTACCTATTTAATTTGGGACTAAGATTCTGCTTCCAAGTTAGTCAAGTCTATGTCTTGACGGCGGTGGGCAGTTGCATAGAATATATTCTAATATTTCGTTCTCCTCATGACAGAATCGACAGAAATCACTTTCTACCGCATCTAAATTCTTCATGTGATAATTGAGTCTACAGTGTCCTGTAAGAAGTTCAGTGTAGATTTTAATATCGTTTCTGCTAAGGTTAAGGATAGCGTCAACTTTGATATGTTCAGGATTAATAAAACTTCTTTTTGATTTTGTTTCTCCCGTTCACATAATAAGTTATTTGTGAAGCTATTTTTTACCCTGCAAAAGAACAAGGAAAGGAGTACATGCACACTTCTTTGTTAAGGATTCTGATGAGCATCATTGGCCTGATGCCCTTCATATCCCTGTACCCGTATAAGAGTAACATAGTTCCTTGATGCTAGGGTAATGAGAGTTGAAAGTATTTTCAGACTAACTTTCATTGGAATGAAGAGTTTGCTAAAGATTTGAGAGCTGTTTGGCTGTCTGAGAGAATGTATATTTTGGTACCTCGGGTGCCCTTGTCTAGGCACTTTCTCGCACATACTTCTAAGGCAGGGACCTCTGCCTGTAAAATGGAAGCGATTTTTCCCTATTCTTGAGTAAGAAGTTTATAATATCAAAGTGGATCATGATCTAAGAATACATTTGTGTTATTTATTTATATAATATCGAACAGAAACCATGAAGACCGGAATGTCCTTGGTGGAAAAGTATCTTATATCGAAAGAAGTTTGAATGCTTATCCTTAGAATAGAATAAATGTTCACTTCAACTTTAAACTTGCAGAAGTTGAAGAAAAAGTTACTAATATCTAATTATTTTAATCAGGGATTTTATAGGTTAAATTAGTCTAATGTGATTTGCAAGTATATTTAAAGTATATATTTGCCTTGCAGCACAAAAGATCAATCTGGTCGCAGTGCTCTACTCCGCTGGGAGCTAGTACTCCGTTCATTCCGACGTATTTGCCAACTGTATATAGGCTGATGTTGTTATGCTACTGATGTATTATCATGCTTTCATATTATTCATTAGTCTTGAGGTCTCTAAGAGACCCTTCAATATAGAAATATCGTTGACACAGTATTCAATTATTTATATAAATTGGTTTATATATATTTAAAATTTGATGACATTGATTATATTGTATGAAAATAAACACATAACGTATGAGTAACCTTATTTTATAGTTCACAAATACAATTAGCATGTTTTTTATTATTAAATTAAACGTGATTTACACACTTTTTTTTATCAGATTAACAGACATACAGTTCTGCATTAATGTGTATATCTATTTATATATTATTTTCCTAAATGTAGTAAAAATCGGTTTAACCTTTAAGTGGATGTGCAAACAAAATTATACGATATTTTGTCATTTGTTTGCTTTGAAGCGAAAAGGTAATGCGAGCATAAGAGAAGAAAACTCGAAACCAAGGTAAATAATACAAAACAAAAGACGTCATTGAAAGATACAAATAAATAAGTCTTTAAATATTTGCTAAGGCACTGCGTTTTATATGCGCTATGACTGAACCGACTGTACTTCAGGTGTACGATTCCGAAATTTCGGGGGCAATACTTAGAACTCATCGCTTTCGTCGCAACATACGTTTAACTTCCACAGTTCGGATTCAAATATTTTTAGCGATTGTTTAACGATGGATTATCTATTTATTATATTTGTTTTTATCTCTTTATTAAGATCGCCTTTTTGTTTATTTGCGGTTTAATTGTTGCGATTATTTGTACATTAGTGTCATGGTTTATTTTAGACACCGCCGCCACTTTTCTTAGCACTACTTTGACTTATCAGGGCAGTGCTTTAAATATTATCAGGGCAGAACTTAGAAACATGTACCGTCGGTACAGACAAAAAGTAAATTCTATTTTTAATATTCAAGTGTACTGTAGTTTTATTTCTTAAATATTTTTTTATTTATGTATTAAAAAATTTTAATTAAAAATTAATAAATTAATTTAAAATGAAAATTTTTACCGAAAAAGATATATAACATATAGATATGCCATTATTATTACAAGAACTATTAATAACTATTGCTACGAAAAATGTTGTTTTGGTTTAAAAAAATGTGCAAAACCAACAGAAAATTGGCTTAAAGCTTAATTACACAGCACAATAAATCATAATTTCAAACCAAATTGAATTGACCTGACCCAGCTTCAATTTATCTAGAACAACGAATCAATTGAATAGAGCCAATATTGATTAGCAAAACTTGTGGCGAGTGTGTTAGGCCACAGATCAGTGGACTTCTTTGCCGAAATATTACGCATAACTTCCAACCAGAAATGCAAGAGCTGCAAAAGGTAACAGAAGCAAGTCGATACGTTGCCCAACCCCACCCCAACAAACCTTAAGTTCACCTCAGGGCGCACAGGAAGATATGCTGATCTACGGCCCGTCATCAGTTAAAAGATAAATAAATGATAATAATTCTAGTATAGTTAAAGCTTAGTGTGGGGCAGGGATAAGCCCCCCGACCATAAAACAGTAAAAGTGCGCAATAGCACCACAACAACAACAACAGAAGCAACCAAACACCTTATTTGCAAATGCTGAAGTCTAGAAAAATTAAGAGATTACAGCATATACGAATTAATAAGACCGGCAGACATTTAAAACATAACTCCTCAAATAATAATCTCATCCGCACAGATTGGTTTTTAAACTTAGATTTTGATGACTAGATGTGTGATAACGAAAAGGCTTAATACGTTATTCAGAGAGAAGAGTAAATTGATAAATGATCATAAGGGACCATACATATGAAGATTATATTTTGATAATTATCGAGAAGGTTAGAAAACAATCTATAAAATACATTCTAAGACTTTAGTAATCGCGTTAATGAATATAGAAGACCACATATGTCTTATGGTTAGACCTCGTATTCGACACATGCACATATTTTCGAAATTAAGTTCATATTTGTGATATAAGCATGTACATATATAATGGCTACTTAACAACTACTTAAAGGTTAAGTAAGAAATTAAAGTACTTCTGTTAAAAATTCTATTCAAATACTATATCTACACAGAGACATAGCGAACCTCTTCAGCATAAATTTATATAGATTTTGTATGAAAAATTGCACATTTGTCGAGTTTGGTACAATTGTCTGAACATACTATAAAACATATTTACAGAACAAATACACTATCAAAATTGTCTATACAAAATCCACACAAAAATGTGCTCATGACATTTGATAATTGCAAGCATAGTGTGATTCATGGAGGTGGTCAAAGGGGGTATATAGATTCAAAAACCTTAATAAACTTAATAGTATATCTAAATTGATATTGCATATCAATGTGGATAATAATGGATATATCTTTTAAATATAATGATATTATGTGTATAATATAAACTTAGTAACAATTGATATCACTACGTTCAAGTATTTTTTTACTTTTAACTTTAAAATATTTATTCCATTTTATATAATTTTTTTCAAAGAAGAATATCAAAATTTTAACAATAAATTTTGGGCTCATCAAAATTAAAATTCACATTTAAGTAAATATTTTTTCATTGTTGCAAAAATGTATTCAGCAATGTCCATCAGAAAGTTTAGAAAAAAACCCAAAAAAAGGCGCTTAAGAAAGTGTGCAAAGAAGTCTTCAAAGGATTCTCTAGAACCATACGCAATTGACCGTCATCCCGAGGAACTACTCGCATGGGTAAACGATAGATTGAAGTCTAATATTCGTAAAATTGAGGAACTATCGAACGGTGCAGCGTACTGCCAACTTATGCATTATCTCTATCCAAAACTCATGGATATGAGGAAGGTAACATTTTACACCAACAATAAATTCGATAGAATCAGAAATTTTTTACTGTTGGAAATGGCTTTCTTTAAACGCTGCGTGATAAAAGACATACCATTTGCTCTGCTTATCGAGTACAAATATATGCCGAATTTGCGGTTTCTCATATGGTTTAAAGATTACTTCGATTACAACAAGGTAAAACCTGATAAGGAGTATGATCCATTGGCGGAACGTTTTAATCACACTCTTGGATATGGTCCTGCGAAGGAGGAACATTTGGAAACATACATATCGGATGTCAACTATAAAGCGGAGAATGCTTATAAGGGTAAACTTTTGTGCCGATATGTACGCGACAAAATTACTAGAGATTTGAAGCGAGAAGAGCAACGTCTTAAGATTGGTGAGCATTTTTTGAACGAAAAGTATGGAGAACGAAATTCTTATTTGAAAAAATTAACTCGTGTTGCGGAAATTTGTGAGGATTACAATCCTAAAAATGAATTTATCATGAAAGTTAAAGCTATTTTAAACGGTCAACCAGTTTCCACAAAGAAAGGGTCGAAAAAAATCATTTAACAGAGACAACATAAAGTCAGTAAAGGTTACTCTGTTTTTGGTGTTGGAAAAATTGATCTATATAATCGGTGGTAGAAATTTTATGAATATTTTGAAAAGTAAATAAATATTTGATTTAAATTATAAGGATATTGGTAGGCTGTTAACTTTGAATATAACTTTGGAAAGATTGCGTACTATCTTGGAACCAACATTGAAGTCAAAATTGCTGTGATGTTTATTGAAAGTATATTTTTTTTATATTATTTATAGTCAATAAAGGAGTGATAACAACACTAAAATTCAAAAGTTTTTTCTTTAAGATAAAGGATTTTAATATAAACTAAACTTTTTAACAAGACGAAAAGTCACCAATCTCCAGGGTGAGGAGATTGAACTAGAAGCTTTAAGAAGCTTAAAGTAGAAGCTTTAAGACGACCCAAATCATCATCACGCTTTGTCCAAAAGTGCCTCTGTGGTGTGTTAGGCTATTATCGATATTATTATCGATACTTGCTTATTTGTTAGTTCCAATCTTGTCTTTCAAAATACTCCAGATAAAAAGTCCAATAGATTTGCGTCTGGAGCATTTGCCAAACATACTGAGCTGGGAATAAAGTGTGGAACATTGTTTTTTAGCCATTCTTTGTTAACGCGCTTTGTAATGCGGTCAGCACTCTTTCTTAAGTCGAGGTATTTTTAAAACCGCTCTTTACGCCTTGACTGGATTATTGTTTATCACTTCATCAGACTAAGCAATAATTGACTTCGGATCTGCA